CCCTAACCCTAACCCTAACCCTATATTATAGGGAATTTTTATATATAAAAAGACTAAATAAATATACTTAACTATTATTATATATATTTTAAGAGGCTTCTATAGCCTTTACGCGCGAAATTTCCACCCTATATACTATCTAGACATGGCTTTTAAGTAGTTTAAGCTCGTCAGAAGTCACCAAGATGCTAGCATTCAGGATAACGGCATAAAAACTTCACGTTCCCTTTCTCATACCGCGGATAAACGTTCTTAACATAGTCCATCATATTTAAAACACGCAGTTCACATGCCATAATTTGCTATAGTGCAGACTAACTTAGATAACTACTAACGAGTATTAATACCACGATAAGCAGTTAAATCACACCTTTACAACCGCCTTCCTTACGGCTTTATTCTACTATCGTCCTCTACGTGCCTTTTTATAGCGCTCCGCCTATCTTTATCTCCTCTTCATAACTTAGTATAATGTCCTAAGACTTACCTTATAAACTTACTTAATATAGTTTTAGAAATAATCTAAATAAATAAACTTCTCCTATCTATATTTTAGATAGCTATACTAGATTACCTTACTATATTAAGTAATTATCTCTTAGTAAGCTAAGTATATATTATTAAAGTAGTTATTAAGTACTAGTAAATAATATTACTTAAACTTTTATATTTTAACTAATAGCTACTTATTATTAATATAGTCTAGACACTATATTACCTTTATAAAAAGTAAGAAAGAACCTAACTTAAGATCTAGCTTAGATAATATATTACTTCTAGGTAACTTTTATATAATAAAAGCCTTAACTATAACTAGGCACTATATATAGCTTATTTTATTAGTTTCTTTCTTATTATATAAAGCTATTATTAAGTTAATAGCCTTAACTCTATATTAAAATAGCTTTATTTTTATCTAGTTATTAGGTTATAGATATAGAATATTAGCTAGTCTTACTTATTTTAGTATAATAAGATCTATTATAGGCTACTTATATTCCTCCTCTACCTCCCTATAGGCTTAGGCCTTAATGTCCTAGGTAGGGTAGTTATAGAAATAATATTTATAATATTCCTTTATAACCCTCCTTTTATTTTATATCCTTTTATTTCTAATCTTATCTATAATTACTTAAATCTTATCTTTATATTTATTACTATTAATTTAATATTATCTTTACTTAAGTATTATATACTCCTCCTTTAACTTTATAATCTTAAGGTTAGGCGGCTAATTTACCTATACCTTCTTAGGCATTATATCCCTTATAGTATAAGGGTTATAGGTTAAACTTATATATATAAATATATAAATATATAGAATAGTTAGTTTTACTTTTCCTCCTCTAAGAAGACATTTTAGAGATTAAAGTTAATAATTTTATTTAGATATATACTAAAAAATATTTTAAAACTAGGCTTATACTATATTATCTAGTTATAGACTAAATCTATTATATTACCTAGTAAGATAATTTAGTATTAAAAATTTTAGTAGTATATATAAGCTTAGCTATACTATTTATAGTATTTAAAGTACCTCTCTAAGTAAATCTAGGCGTCTAAGCCTTCTTATAGTTAGATTTAAGGCTTTATTAGCCTATATTATAATTTAACTTTAAGTAAAGTATTACCTTATCTTTAGATAGTGTTATATTACTAATATAGTAAAATATAAGGACTTTTAATTTCTCCTTCTTCTAGTAGATTAGTATATAATCTTAAGGACCTTAAATATCCCTTAAGAGGAGACTATATATATTAATTAGGTAAGCTATATTAAATATATAGTTATATAAGGCTAGTATTATAATAACTATAATTATATTAAAAATAAGCTTCCTTATAGGTGTAAAGAAAAAAATTATCTTAATATATAATTAGTAGTTAACTAAATAGTAGTAAGGTAATATATAAGATAGAATATATAGCTTTAGCTTATTATTTACTCTTTTATAGTAAATAAACTTAATAGCTATAGTTAATATAGGCTTTCTAATAGTAAGGTATTATATAAGTATTAAAAGAATATCCTTATAGTAAAGAGCTTTAGGATAGTCTTTTTTAATTATCTTTTATAAAAGTATCTTATTAAATTCTATAAATTACTTATCTAATATTTAATCTATATTACTATTATTTTCTACTTCTTATATAACTTTCTAGCTAAAGAGTATCTTTTAAGAGTTATCTTTTAGACCTTTTCTCTTACTATTTATAAGCTTTATAGGTTAGGCCTTAGTATAATATAGGAGCTAGTAGTAATTAGTTAACTAGATCTAATAATACCTAAAGCTAAATATACTTATATTATATATAATATTAAATATTAGGATAACCTAGAGACTATTAATATTAAAGACTAGTTTATTATTAATATTTAGTACTTAAAGATTAAAATAAGGGATTAAAATATTATAGTAATACTTAGCTATAGTTAATAATTATAATTAAATACTCTAGCTTAAAGGGTTTTTATATCTTATAGACTTCTTTTATATTATTTTTATTTATATAATACCTTATAATAGTTATATAAAGCTACTAGAATTAGTAAATATACTCTTCTAATATACCTTATAACTAGATATTATAGTTTCTATAAATAAAGAGAAAAAAGTCTATTATAATAATATAAGTTAGGTTAATAATTATTACTTACTAGTTACTAACCTCCTTCTTATTATAATAGTTATATTAAGGTTAGCTATAGGCTCTAAAATAGGCTTATAAGTAACCTTAATATACTATTTTTATCTTCTAAAGATATTAGAGATATTAATCTCTATTTTAGTAAAGTACTTAGGCTTTATAAAATAAATAATACTAAGATACTCCTAGTTTATAGTATACTACTTAGCTAAGAGTAATATAAACTTTAGTACTCTTTTAAGCTACTTAGCCTTTTAAAACTAGAGGAAGTTAAGGTAATAGCTATTTAGAGTATTTATATAATATATATAAGTAATAGTACTTAGTATTATAGAAGGATTATTTCTATTAATCTAAGGTAGAGGTGGCTTAGGTTAGAGGCTATAATAGACTTAGGGTAATAGAGAAAGGGAAAGTAGAGGGGAAATAGGCGCGCCACCACTCTATATATTATAGTACTAGCTATTCTAGTAGTAAAAGCTACTAAAATATATAAGTAGTAAGAATAAGATAATAACTAATAAATAGTAAGAAATAAGAATTAATATAGTAAGTAGGCTCCTATAGTTAGGGGCAGGCGTGGATTAGTTATATAGCTAAGACCACCTAAAGTATATAGTACCTAGCAGGGGTAGGCCTAGAGCTTTAGTTCCCTTACTGCTGTTACTGCTAAAAACGGCGGTAGAACCCGCCAGATTTAGTGGCTCTAGCAGCGCATCTTGCATTTAAAGAGTAATAAAAGTAAAGAAAGTACTTACTTATTATTTATTATTACCTACTATACCTAATAATTATCACTACTCCTTAGGTTTTTTTTTATAGGGTAAGAATACTAGTTAGGGAATTATCGCCTTATAGTATTAACACTTAGAATAAGTGATAGGTTTAAAATTATTATTATCTTTATTTTTTTTTAAGAGTAATAAAAGTAAGGAAATTACTTACTTATTATTTATTATTACCTACTATACCTAATAATTATTACTACTTTTTAGGTTTTTTTTTATAAGGTAAAAATACTAGTTAAGAAACTATTACTTTATAATATTAATACTTAGAATAAGTAATAGAATACTTATTATCTTTTTATTTAAATAACTATAAAAGTTATTACTTAACTATATTTAAGCTTTTCTACTAAGAGAATAAGATTATTA